CCCCAAAACCCCAAAACCCCAGATGATAGTATTTCAGATAAATTAAAATGATGAAATCAAGATTAAATAAAATTCATCTCATATTATAGCGACTGTGTTCATTAGTAATCTTCTTCAAGATTTTCAATTTTTTTGCCTAAATAGTCTTCAAAATTTTCTTATTACTCTAGTTAATTTACTCCTTCAAAATCCTTGCTCTCTAAATTCATGCTTGAAGACAATGATTCATCCTGTCTCATAAATTCCAAACTTAGTGGCTACTAATTGTTTTAAGTTCTAATGGTATCTAAGAGATTACGATTAGAATTTTGGTCCTCTATCATTATATCTTCGTTTATCATTTAATCTCTTTACATCGGGGTTTTTTCTTCAGTAATTAATTGTAATAAGTTGTTATCAGAAGTCTTTTCCTCTAAATGAAGAGTGGATTTTGATAGATCTGCTCTTAATTTTTTGTAGTGCTTATCGTTCCTAAATTAAGAGAATTTCTTCTTACTATTCAATACCATTTTACTCTTTTTAATAACATGAAATAGAGAGTCATTTGCTAAGGAGTTCTGTTTTTCTCTAATGACAGAATCAAATAGATTAGTTTAATTTTCTGGGTATATTTTTGCTGAATATTATCTTTCATGACCTGAGTTTGTAGCTGTAGGCTTATCTTAATATTGATAGCTTCCTACTATATCATTTTCAATTTCTATGAAAGCTAGATCTTCCTCTGAATACCTCTAAGGTAAGCTATTTACATATTCAGGTTTATAAATTCGTAAGTTATATTTTATTTTTTCAGTGTTATTTTCGAGCTCAGAAGTTGTTAATATGATTTTTCCTTTATCATCATCCTTTTAACTATCTGTGTAGAGAGGAGAAATACCTCTATCATAGTAATCAAAAACTTATGATTCTTAATGATTTTCTGTGTAAAAAATTCTCTGATTAGCAGTTTCAATGAAATTTAAACTTTTTTCAAACATCTTCTTCAATTGCTTGCTTAAGGTTTTTCTATGATGATGTCTCTTAGCTAATTCTTGTGATTTAATAACCAATTTACCTTCATTATCTTATTAATCATTACTAATCCCTCTTTTATTTTTCTTAAACAAAGTGGTTATGATATTTTCTTCAGTCAATTTATTTTTATTAGGCCTATTTATTCTTTTTTTACTATAATGGTCTCTATTTGATATCTAAGGCTATTATTCTTCCTAAATCCCAACTATTTTTAGTATTTTTTCTTTGCTTAAACCATTTAATAGTTTTTCTAGGTTCTTTTGATTTAGAAGGAGTTCACCATTGTCACACATTTCCATTAATTATTTCAAATGATCTTAGTATTTCTCTCTCAAAATCTCATTTTCTTCTTTTATTCTATTAATCTCCATCATTATGTGATATTTCTATTTGTTATTGCACAAGAACAGGAAAATATAAATTTTTGAAAATTTTTTCATTAGCATGTGCTTAATTTCAATAACCATTTTAAATGTCCAAAATGTGAAAAATATCAAGTTGCTTAATAATATAACTAAGAAGAGAATAATTTTGGTATCTTCCGTTAAATAAACTAAAATTCATTAAAAAATTATGATTTTTACCTTGAGAGTCCGAAAGATTTTAATTACTTTGTAAATCTGTTTGATCAACTGAGACAATAAAAAATACTCCACAAAATATTGTCAAAAGTGAAGTTATCAATGACAAGGTTTCGAGCTCATTCAATGTTTATGTTTAGAAAGGTTATTTAGTCAAGTTGATTGCCATAAAAATGATCAGCATCATCAAAACTAGCATCGCCTAATAAAAAATTTCCAAATTTTAATCTTACTTGAGTGATTACTCCATATTAAACTAGAAAAATTTAGATAAAGATGAGAAAGATCTTTCTATAAGTAATAACTATTTCCCAGTAGTAAAATCTTCTTTTGAAACCTCTATAAAGGAAACCATATTTTTGTCTTATAATCAAGGAATCTAGAGATTTATGATCTCTTTCGAGAAGAACAAAAGCAAACAGAGGAATACCAAGGCCCCATACGACTAAACTTGGCAATCCGATTCCTAATGCCCATATTATATGTTCTCCAACATAGCATAAAATCTCAAGGTCATTTTTTACTCTCTTTTCTCCATCAATATCAATACAACTAATGCAAAATTTAAGGAGACTAATTATCTTACTTGAAAAGGTTAAATACAAATTTCACTATATTTGGATGTACCAAAAATAGCAGGATAACCACAGTTGATATCGCTTTTGTAATTCTTATAAGTTTTTGATTAGGTTTATTGTATAAGATGAACCAGAAGGAGGATGATATTAGTACTAAGAAAACAGGAAGTAATCCAAATAGGGCAAGCTTTATATAGAATATTCTTACACCCAGAGCCTTTCCAGTTTTTTAATCTTCTTTTTCTTACTCACTAATGTAACCTTGATCATTATTTAAGAAGCAATCAATTGAGAATATCTAGTTTGATGCTTCACCAATTGTTTCACTAGATTTGAAATAGTCTAAAACTATCTATGGCCATTTGAAATCAAATGATGCTGTAAGAACAATCAGTTGAATATGATTCAGTATAATCTTTTAAAAAACACTTGTTGTATTTTTAACATCAGCTGCACCATTTAATGTAGATCTTATTAGGAATATTATTACTATAATAGCTACCAAGATTATTGCAATTATTCTAAATAGATTCTACCCATATTCAGGGCATTTTCCACATTCAAATGTACCTGTTCTTGAATAGCCTACAATACAGTCAGCGCATAAAATGCCATTATATCCTGATAAGCAAGATCCTTAAGGATTATTTTGTGGTGGGATCATCCCTCTATATAAATATCATATTGAAATTATTACAAGCAAGAACCCTTGTTAAAGCATTAAATAAATGTTGATGAAGTATTACTTCTTCTCCAGTAACCTTTTTAAGGTCCAACGTTAGACCCTCCATTACAAACAGCTTTTGAACTTGGACATGTGCTGCATTGTCCTGGTTCTGTCATTTTCACAAGTGAATAAGATTTACCTGCTGGACAAGGGTCACATCTAAATAGCATAAAATAATTTAAACTTACGATCCATCTTCAGCGAACATCTCACCTGGAATGCATTCTCAAAGATTGACAACAAGCTAGAAATCAATATTAGATTGATTATTGTATTCAGTTTGCAAAATTTCAGTATTAGCTGGTTTGTTTAGATCTATTCCTTCTGATATTATTGAGAATTAATATGATTCTCCAGGTGCTGCAATAATTGATATATCATCCAAAATATAAAGACCGTTTTTTGAGTAATATGTACTAGTTCCAATGATTGAGGCTTGATATTTCAGTGCATTTGAGCCATTACTAAGTGTAGATTTGATTTATATATCTAATTTTTTACTACTCTCAGTTCCTACAACTTAGCCCATTTAGTCTACTAATGCAAGGTACATTATTGGTAATTTATCCCCACTTCTTTAATTATCTTACGCTGAAGAAGTTTAAAGAGTAAGCCTTCTACTTTATAGATCTTATTCTTTATTCTAAAGTCTTCTTTAGTCATCTTATTCAGGATTAGACCTTTTAATCTGCGAATTGTATTATTCCAAGGTTAATTTAATTAGTTTTTATGGGTAACTTGCAATATCATCAGCATAAATTAAAGCAGAATTATCTTTGAATGTATAGGAGGCTCCATGTAATAAAGTTGGTTTAACATCATTCCACTATATTGCTCCACCAGAGCTATTGGCTTAGTTTTCTTTAAATGAATTGATTCCACCAAATTCATACTTGCAGTTATAAGGGTCTTAACAATCCATATATATTCCTCCTCCTTTATTCTCAGCTATATTTTTAATCACTTAATTATCTTGAATAAGAACTTTGTGCAAATTATGAAGATATATCGCTCCACCATCAGTTAAAGAACGGGAGTTCTTTAAAGAATTATTTTTTATCTATTTTAAGCATTAAAATTTTATGTTTTACAATAGTAGAATATGCCATATTATCTGAGTACTTAGTTTTTCTCAAATTAGTTTGCTCCAAATAAATGGATCCACCTTTAGTTGATTTAGAATCTATGATTTATGCATTATACAAAAAGAATATTCCACAATCAGTGCACATTATTGAACCTCCTTATTCATTGACTGTTTGACCCTTCAAAGTTCCTAGGTTTTCATTAATACTTTTATTAAATTTTACTTTTTATCGTTAATCCATCTGAATAAAAATTTACAGTATCTAGTTAAATTGAGCTTATTGAAATTTCATTCAAAATGTATGAGTTGTTAATTGAAATTTGCTCGATTGAAGCTGAAGCAATTATATCACCTGCCACTTCCTCTGCTAGGTTTTGCTCGAAAGTTGTATTATATATATCTAATCTTTTAAAGTTAGCGGCATAAACAGCTCCACCACTATATAAGACAACATTTTATCTGAAATAAGAATCCTTAATCGTCATTTCAGAATCTAGTGATATAAAAAAAGTTTGATAATTTACCTCCAGATAAATATATAGATCCACCATAGGTACCAGAGCCATACATGAATTATGAATTAATTATTGTAATGTTGCTATTCATTATTCCGTTAATGAATGTGCCTTTGTTATTTGTTTGTCTAGCCACTATTTTCTATCTTGAAATAGATCTGATAAGTTAAATAAATGTAATTTACTTAGACAAACCAATGAAGGTAGTATTCTCGATTGTAAGATTTGAATACCCAACAAAAAGTCCTTTAGAATTGACTTAAGCTACATTCTTTTCAAATAGTGAGTTAGTAATAATGGAATAGTGCGCATACATCATTTGAATAGTATTTTTCTCAGCCTCATTATATGTGAATGAACAATTCTCAATCTTTAAGAATTCAGTCTATTCAAATTGATCAGTAATTTTCTAAGTAAAAATGCAGCTTACCTCACTTGATTCGAGAACATTTATTACTGAATTTTCTGATGCGTAGTTCTGAGTAAACAGCGAATCTTTCAGGTTAAATGTAGATTTTGTAACCAAGTTAATAACCCCTCCCTTTTTAATTGCTGTATTGAACTAAAAAGTACAATCAATTGCATTAAACTGGCCCTGATTATCTACAGAAATAACTCCGCCATCTTACCCATAGTTTTCATAAAGTGTGGATTTATAAAGAGTTAGTACTGATTATGAAACTTAAAATACTCCTCCAAAAATTGCCCCATTTCCTGTAATTAAAATACTAATTAGAATTCTTACTATTAAAAATAGAACCAAAATCTTTGAGATTACTATTAAAGAGTCTAAAGACTCCTCCTGAATATGAATCATAGCAATTTAAATATTAGTTTTAATAGGATTACGAATCAAAAAGATTTTGAAAGGAAAATGCACTTCTAAAATTTTAAGACTCAGAGGATATCATAGCATTCAATTTAGTTTTGCTTAAAGATTGATTGCAAGAAAATATATTATTTTGAAGAACAATCTTAGAGTTCTTAGCAATAGAAGTCATTATCAAACCTTCATATGCAGAAGATTGGTAAATTTAGGAGTTGTTTAAGATTATTAATTTATATTAAGAACCATAAAATGTACCTCCGGAGCCTATTAGTTCAATTTAGCTTGCTTAATTATTATTAAAATATCCTGAGTTTATTACTAAGTTTAAATATTTATCATCAACTTTGAATACTCCACCTTCTTTTGTTGCGTAGTTTCCTTAAAAATAGGAATAATCAATGGAAACATTAGTTTCATAATTAAAAGCAGGATTTAATCTTTTAATCAGTAATGCACCACCTTCTTAAAATGCATAATTCTTAGTAAAGTTCGACTAGCTAATTGCTATGATAGATTCATCTAAAACCTATATTGCTCCTCCATATTAAGCATTGTTATTATTGAAAGTCATATTTAAGATTGTAGAATTAGTATATTAAAGTACCATTGCAGGTCCATTTAATGCTGTAATATCGTCGAATATAGAGTTATAAGCTGTTAAATTACTAGATTTATAAATACCAACAGCTCCTAAGTTATTTAAGCAAATGCTTCTAAATGAATTATTTCTTAAAATTACAGTCTTTGATTCTCTAATCATTACAATTCCTTCAAAATTATAGTTTAGTTTATCTTAACCCAAAAGCAATTAAATATATTATTTACTCAAGCTGGCATCTCCATCAACAGTATTATTTCCAAATGTAACCAAATTAAGATTAGACAAATACAAAAGCATGTATATATTCTAAATCTAGAGATAACTAGATGAATAGGTATTGATAAATTTCACAGTTGAGTTAACAAAGGCAAATGAATTAGTTTGAACAACACTAATCATCATAGATCCAATCTCATTTTCTACAAATCTTTTTTCTACATGCAGCCAATACTTAGCCAAATTCATTTGAAATTTAGAATTTTAAACAATCATGTTCATAGATGTGGAGAACTCAAGAGCAAACTAGTAAATAGCACCTCCTTATATCAAAGCATGATTATCTGTAAAAGAGCAGTTTTAAATTTATATTCGCCCATAATCACCTCCTGTATAGGCTACACAACCATAGTAGCAAAAATTGTTTTCATAGATATTCGAGTCAAGATTCAAAGTGCAGGATCCACATTAATAAATTGCCCCTTGAAACGCTGAGTTATTTGAGTAAATGCTTAATGTGTCATTGAATGTCAATATCCCTGTTGTTGAATCTAGGTAATATATACCCCCACTAGTTAGATAAGTATAATCTTCTTCATGATTTGTTTAAAATTCAGTATAGCAATCGCTAATCTTATTTCTGCTAGATACTACAGTAGTATTTAGCACTGATTTAAAAATAAATGCATGAAGAGGTGTTGCTATTGTTCGTTTTTCCACAAATAAAAATTACTTAAATTAATCTGCATCACCATCTAAGATACATCTAATAGTATTGTCTTATAGAGTAGCAGATATTCCTAAGCCTGTAGATTTTGATCTAACAATTGCTCCCGCTTACTCAGAACTAACATTTGAAATAGTACAATTCCTTATTTCTAGATCTATGCTACTTGAAGCTTCTGCAAAAATAAAAGCACCCTCACTATTGCATTGCAAATTCAGAATAAAACTACTTATAATTTTAAACTTCATAACTCCACCAACTATAAAGAACCCCGCTCCACCCTGAAAGCTTAACTAGTCTGATGAAGTTTTAGTTAATTTGTAAGAAGAGGAGTCATCATAAAAAGATGCATTAACTTTTTCGAATCGTGATTCTTGAAGGTTTATTTGTAAAGAAGTATATGAATTCGTGACTATATAATTTAAGCCACCCTCAGAACAACTCATGATATCATGTATAATGCTTTCGGTGTAAATGATTTATTGCTATAAAACTGGCTTGTCTATTTCTGTAAACAAGACTCCTCCTTGATATGCCTGTGTTTCAGTGATATTTGATTTGAAAAACACTATTGCATAACAGTTTGAACAGTAAACAATTCCTCCATACCAACCAAAGTTATTAAGAAAAGTCGAATTGTCAGATATAAAGACATTGTTCATTCCATCCAAGTGGAAAACTCCTCCTAAATAGCCGAATCTACATCCTTCAAAAATACTATTAGTGACTTTCATCTCAAATGATTAGAAATTCAACTAAATAAAAAATGCAGAACCAAAGTTTCTATCAATGTTTTAATTTCTAGACTACATTGCTAACAAATCATATACAAAGTATATTTCCGCTACATATTCTTTTGGAAGGTTTCTATTGATCTATAAAATTTTGCATCCTCTTATATCTATTTAGATGTAAAAGTCTTAGTTTAGGTAAAGGATGTATCCTACTCTATTAAAATAAGGTATAGTCGAATATCCAAATTATTCATAACCATTTGTTGTTGGTAAGATCTCATAGTTGTCTAAAAAAACAGAGTTAAATATTGCTAGGTATTAAATTGCCATTATCCCATCTAAATCATCTTGCGAAGTAGTAGTTTCAGGATTTAGTGATAAAGCACCACCTTTATTATGAGTCTTAGTTTGATTAAATGTGCAATTATCAATTATGAATCTACCTTAAAATCCTTAAAATATGTTTATTGCACCTCCATGGTTTGTTGTAATATTAAAAAATGTTGAATCTCGCATAGTAATAGTTGGTGTGTATGGATTAAAGGGTTAAGAGTTTAATTGAAAACTAACATCACTAAATGAAATATTGAAAACAGAGCCATAATTACCTTAAATACTCTTAAAATATCCATTTTTCAAAATATCCTGGTCAAAAGAATCATTCCTCAGAACAATCTGGAACACCTATGATCCAAATTCCGCAGCTGAATTCAGCATATTATAGTTAGTATTTATATTTGAAACATTGATGTCAACTAATTCAGCATAAATAGCTTAAAGTTAAATTAGAGAGTGATTTTTGCTACAGTTACAATCAATATTGTTCAATGTTAAATTCTAGATTTTCAAGTCATCTACTGTGTCACCACTATAGAAGATAATGATTTTAAACATACTTTGTTGAGAAGATAAATCCAATTGCTGGATACTCCTACTATAATCCAAATTTGGTATCTTCAACGAAAATATTCTCCAGTGATACATCTATTAAATCTGACTAAGTATCTATTCCTATTATGGGATTAGTCATTGCATACACTACTTTAGGACTTTCTTCACTAAATTAAATACCCAAATCATCCCTCGCAAA